CAAACCAGTCTGGGATTCTATGATTCTGTGTGACAAGAGAAGATGCTGAGCCAGCTCCTTGGGACAAGGTAGATGGAAGGGTTGGAAACAGGCCCATGGGTGACCTGAGCATGCACAAGAGAAAAGTCCAACCAAAGGACACGGTGATAAAGCCTATCAAAGACCACCAGAAAACCTTGACAACCACCAGAGAGAGAAAGTGTGCGTGCAAAAGGGACGTTTCCATATATTAATGAGTTCCTGGAAATTTAACAAATACGTTAATGACTTCTTGGGAAAGCAATGAATATGCATATTTTGATACTATAAAGCTTTTGTAGAGAGACGAGTCGGTATGCACGATAGGTGGAGTGATCCCCTGTGCATCTGGCCCCAGAATAACGAATATCGGCTTTTTATGACTGGTGTTAAGAAGTTAATTTCCTGATTCTGGTGACAGCACGAGCCGGGTGGGGTGTGGGGCAGGACATGGCCTGGTGCACAGCCCTTGTGCACGGCCCCGTGCACGGTGGGACACGGAGCAGAGTGCAGCCGAGGTACAGCCCCGTGCAATGTCGGGCACAGAGCAGGACACAGCTGGGTGTGCCCTGTGCAGGGCAGGGCATGGAGCAAAGGGACAAACCAGTGCACAGCAGGGCAGAGAGCAGGGCACTACCCTGGGCATGGCTTGTGCGTGGCCAGGACACAGCCCAGTGCAGAGCAGGGCACAAACAGTGCACGGTGGGACGCAGCTGAGTGTACAGGAGGGTACAGAGCACGGCAATACCCTGGGCACGGCTTGTGCACTGCCTGGCACGGAGCAGGGCATGGAGCAAAGCACTGCCCCACTCTCCTCTTCCCATTCCCTCCCATTCATCATTTGCTGCAACTGCAGGAGATAAACCAAAAACTGCTTTAATTTCTCTTGGGTATGGGCAGCAATGCCCAACCCAGCACCAGTTGGGAAACGTAACGCATTTGGTTTTCATTGCACGTCATTAAATTCATATCACAATCAGCAAACGGCATTTCTCCGGAGATAGAAAACCTTCCAGAAACCCCCCAAAACTTCTCTCCATTCTCAAAAATGGAAGAAAAGCAAAGAAAACAAGCCAGAGAGAAACCAGCAAAGGACACAGTGTGATAATGTCCAGTTCCAGCAAATCACCTCATCTGAAGTGGATGGAGCCTTTCGTTTTGGGGGGGTTTTTTCCTCATTTACAGCTGAAGAATTCCCAAGCAACAATTCTGCATTATTGGGAAGTGGTTTCTGTACCAACAAGTCCAAGTTTGAACCATGCATCAAACCCTCCTTCACCTGTGAACTTCCCCCTCAACTACAACAATATCTGGACACTTTTTTTTTTCCTAATAACAGGGAATTTCTACAATATTATTTCACCATTTCCCTTGGGTAAGGTGGGGCCAGCATCTGCAAATCAGTGTTGAATCAGAAGATGAGCGAGAGAAATGGGTACCTTAACACTCTAAATGTATTTCCCATTGCATCATCCCCAAAAGGCTGCTTACACACCGAGGAAATTGGGGAAAACCATCTTCCTCTGCTGCCGAAGGGCAAAAGCCGGCGACGGCCGCGCTGCTCACACCTTCTTCAGGTCCTCGGGGCCGAAGGAGAGCGGCAGCAGATCCTCCAGCCTCTTGACGATATAGGTGCCATCCGCTTTGGTCAGGTAGATGTTCCAGTCTGTGCCAAACTGGAGGAGAAGGGGGAGTAAGTGCTCGATGCAAAACCTGTGCTTCTTCCTCAAATTGCTCAAATAATCCTCTTTTTTTTGGGCGGTTCGTAGGTAGGATGTATTTTGGGGTGGCTTTTCGGCATCACCTGCCTTGGGGGGTATTTTGGGCTCAGATCTTATGTTTTTTCCTCCCCAGGGTGATCCCCAAAGCCTCCAAACCTGCTGAATCCAGCCTTGGAGCCCAACCCTGAGACCTATTAAATATTAACCACCCAAAATCAGGCTGCAGGTGCTGGGGTGCCCGCGAGGAGGAGGGAGGTGAGAGCGGGACGAGCTCTACGTGGAGCTCAACTTTTGCAGGAAAAAAACCCCATTTTCAAGCTTGGCAAAGCCAGGGTGACAGCTCTGGGACCGAACTCTGCACCCACCAGCTCCCGGGAGGAATAAAACCCCCTGGGGAGGGCGAGTTAATTAATTACCACCGAGCACCCACTGCCTTAGGACAGGGATGAATAAATACCCCTTTCCCAGTGGACAGTGCAATGTGAGGAGCCCAGAGCTGGCCTTGGGGACAAGGGGTTGCAACCCCCCTGCCCTTTGCACCTCCAGATGTTTTGGGGGGAGATGTCTGGGGTCAGGGGATGCTGCCTGGGGTTGGGAGATGTGGGGACCCCCGCGCGAGCCATCACCTCTCTCATCACTTGTCTGCAGGCACCGCAGGGCACGATGAAGTTGTCCCCCATGTCACTGCCAAAGGAGAAGGGCACAGAGCTGAGTCTTGGGGGGGGGGTCGGACACCTGCAGAAGATCTTTATGCACCAATAAATATGGAGCCACAGCAGATTTTCTCCCTAATTCCTCAAAAAAACCCATGCAAAAACCTGCCTCCCCCCAAAAAAACCACCCAGGCTGTTGCAGCAGGAGCTGCCCCTTGGGTGCACGGGGGGGGTTTTATCGCTGTCCCTCCACCCATCTCTCACCATGCCCTTACCTGGCGATGGCCATGGCCCTGAAGCTGGTGTGTCCCTCGGAGATGGCTTTCTGGATGGCAGTGCGCTCAGCACACACCCCCAGGCTGTAGCAGGCATTCTCCACGTTGCACCCTACGGGGAAGCACCCAGCACCCACTCAGCCATCCCTAAAATCCCCCTCAGCTTCCCTCCGGGGGAATCTGGGGGGAGAATTTGCAGAGAAAGTCTATTTTCCACACGTACCACCCCATCCCAGGCTCTCACCAATGCATCCCCCACTTCCCCGATGTATTTCCCGTATTCTCCCATCCGCCGCGATCTTTGCCTCGCTCTGGGATGGGGGCGAAAAAAAGCGCCTGCCAAGAGGCAGCCGGAGCTGGGGCAGGGGGAGGACCAGAACTCTATCCTAACCCCACTGCATCCCCGTGCATAGCCAAAGAGTGTCGAGGGGGACCCCAAAACCCAAAGGGGGGTCTTGGACAGCCCCAGCTTACCGGAGAAGATCTCCCCGCCAGCGGTGAGCAGCGCGGCGCCCACCGGGAAGCGGCTGTAGGGGCAATAAGCACAATTTTTGGCCTCCCGGCTACGACGTAGCAAGAGCTGGATGCCCTCGCTGTGGGGTTGGCCCGGGGGGTCAGTGGGGGCCGGGTGCTGCCCGCCGCCCTCCATGCCTGCTCCTGCCTGCCCTGCCCGCTGACGCCACGGTTAAATATTTCCTCGCTTGTAAAATAGGCTGGCCGGCCGCGCTGGGATAACGCCCCGGCGTGCAGCCAAATCCTGGGAAGCATCCCTGGGGACAACCCTGACCCCCAAAACATGAGACTCAGGGGGTCCCGTGTCGCCCCCTCCCACCTGATCTCTCATTTTTTCCAATTTCTCCCTTTTTTTTTCTTTTTTCTTTTTTTTTTTACCTCCTTTCTCTGTCCCAACAGAGCATTTTTCCGCCGCCTCGGTGGTTTTTTTCTTCCCCAGTTAAAAACTGTTTGCACTGTTCCATGAGAAAACATCATTAAATCACTCCTGGGAGGTGGGTGAGGGGGGAACAACAGCTCCTGATCAGTGATATCGAAAGAAATAAATTGACTGCAAAAAAATAAATATATATATGACATTTTCCCAAGTTTTTAACTACTGGCTAAAGACAGGGGCAAAATAAAAGCCAGTTTCAGGATGTCCTCGTGCCACTCAAGCCCAAATTTGGTTTGGCTGGTGGTTCCATGGGAATCAGCCCACATGGGGTAAAGGGCTCCTGGGACACCAGGCGGATCAGCAATCAGCAAATTGCTCTTTAATTAAAGATATCTCTTTAATTCCCCTTGCTGGAGGAGCTTAATGCCCCATTTTCTGGCTGCAAGGACAAGTGTCGCAGCCCCCATCAATTTATCACTAGGATTTTTGTCCAGTTTGCTGAATTTGGGGAGGATTTTGACTTTATCTGCTGGTTTTGACAGCAAATCTTGGTGCTGGGTCGCTGCTGAGAAGCCACAACAGGCTGGGACGCGGCGCCCAAATTGGCAGCAGCCTCTGATGTGGTGTAAGCACTGGGAGCTGAGAATGGAGTGTGGGGCAGCGAGAGGACCACAGGCAGCCCAAGAAATCAAAGCCAGGACACTGAAATCAGTATTATCCCCGGCCGACTCACCTTTCTCCCACTATGCAGGTGCTTGTTCACCCTGGAACCTAATGGTGACAGTTAGCTACTTGCAAGGGCAGTCAGTCAATAGGAAGCTAGAGGGGAGGGACTGGCAGTCCTGAATCAGCTCAGAGCCCTTTTTTCAGCATTTGAAGCCCAAATCCCAATTGTTTTCCCATCTAAAATGTGCCCCCCACCCCATTATACGGCGCAATCCCCCCAAAACCAGGGAGAGAAAAGGAAGCAGGAGGAGCAGGGGGACCCCTCTCTTAAATAACATGAGATCTAGAAATAAACAAGCTTTCAAGGAGGGTTTAAACCTGCTCTGTCGATATGAACACCAAGCAATTAAATAAAGAGTCCTTACCTCCCGATGAGGGCGAGAACAGAAATCACGAGAGACAGGCTGGCGTGGACAGAAACCCTCCTAATTTGCACTAATTCACTAATTGCCACCTCCCCGAAGCCATCCTTGCACCAGGACACCCCGAGCTGCAACAAAAAAAGCCAAAAACCACACAAACTCATGGATTTTGGGTTATTTTGGCTGCTGAGGCCGTGGCAGCGCGAGGAGCGGGGCCAGCGCTGCTTCCCTGTGAAGCAGCTATTTTAAGGTTGCAGTTGCTTTGCTCAAACTGTAAAAAAACTGGGAAGCTGCTGGGAAATGGCTTCTCATTCCCTGCAACACCCGGCTCAGGTTTTCCTCCTCAAATAGACTAAAAATGAGGACACAAACTGTTATTTTATCCCTTTCTCCACCCCATTTTTTAATTCCAAAGCAGCCAGAGTATCTTTGTGGGTCCCCAAGCCTGGGGATCTCCTTGCTGCACCCACAAAAAGCCCCAGATGGTAAAAAAAAAAGAAGTGGAAATTAGGATTTGAGCTGAAGCAGCTGAATCCTGAACAACCTCAGACTCCATTGCGGGGCTGAAATCTTGCAGGCGCTCTGCAGCACTCTCCAAAGATCCTCCCCAGGCTGAAAAATTGGAGAGAAACCGTCCCAGGGCCTTGGCCAGAGTTAAAAGCAACAGGTTAAAAGCTAAAAAAGCTCAGCCCAAGAGCAGCAGCGAGGAGATCCGGCTGGCTTGGGAATAATAGAGAAAAATAAGATTACTAGAGCAAAAAATACCAGTGAACCCACAGGATCTGCGAACCCCAGCGCACCCCCTCATGCAAAAAAACCCTCTTTTCTCATGCCAGGGTCAGGAGCTGATATCTGACCCTCCCCAAAATCATCCCCCCCTGGATCCTGCCCGAATTTCCCCCCATGCAGGTGGGCTTTATGGATCCAGCCACTGCATTGGGGTGGGTGTCTTTATTTTATGAGCATCTTGATCCCGAGCACGACACGGATACGTGTCCAGTGGCGTGCACGGTGACGGGGGGTGGTGATGGGGGGGT